TTACTCTTGAAAACCAGCAAAAGTTTAAAAAGGTTTTCGCTCCACTAATTATGCTAAAATAAGATAGGAACATTTATTTATATGTATGCCAAATTTAAAAGAAAATCATTTTCAAAATGGAGTATTTCATTTAGTCTTTATTACTCCATATGGATCCGGAGTACGTATAAATAATCCTAAACAAAAAGCACATCACTTTATAAATGAATAAATGAAAGCAAAAAGTTTCAATCCAAACCAATACTAAAACTCAAAATACGTGTCACTCTATGTTGGAGGGAGGATAATTAATGACTAAAGAAAGGTAAAAAACTTTTAATATTAAAATAAGAGAAAAGAGTCAAATAGGTCCTCGAATTTACATAGAAATGTCAAATAAGCCTATATATAGGAGGCTCTGTCCGGCCATCACCATTTGGGGCAGTTCCTTGTGGAATTTTGTGATGAAATTTTTTGAGCATCTTATTTATTAAATCTAATTTACTCATACCAAATTTCATCTAACAATTCAATCTGGAAGACATTTTTTCATCTAACAATTCAATCTGGAAGACATTCAAATGAATGTAAAATCATGAAAAATCAAGGGTAAAAGTATGAATTTGATCGTATGAAAAATCGGAAATAATAAAAATCATATGAAATCGTATTTGAATCGGACAAACTCGTTCAAAATCTCGATTTTATCAGAGTTTACGATTTTAAGAATTTGTGTTTAGAGCAACCCAAACACGGCCCAAATCGCTCAGGCCTAGTAACTAAGCAAGTGTAGTTACCTGCGTTTGAGGTTTCCGGTGTGGGATAGTTGCAAATCAGAGAAGATAGAATGATCGTTTAAAACAATTTTTTTTAACACAACATGGATTCCAACCTACACGATCTAACTTCCTCGCATGAAACTATTGTAACGGTGTAGTCTACCAACCCACCAACACCAACTTCTTAAATTAAAGAAGTCAAACAACTACAAGTTTAAGTCTATAAATCAAACCATTATATGTTTGTCTTACAATGATGTGTTCATTAAAGTGGACAAAATAATTAGTGACAAAATAAAGCTATGTAATCACATAATAGAAGTCATTCAACAAATAAACTACAATGCTACAAAGAAAATTCCCAATAAATATTTGAATAGAATGAGTATTTAAGCATTAGTTTAAATATTATGAGTATGATTTTGTAAAGCAAATTCAATGGATAAGTCTGATAAGCTGAAAAAACAGTGTTGCCAAACGGCTTTTATATGTTATATAGCTAAAATCAGGGACGGAGCTACAGCCACAGCAAAGGGGGCCATGGCCCCTCCCAACTTTTCATTTTTTATCTAGTAGTATTAGGATTTTATTTAATTTTGCCACCCCCCCTCCGCCAACCTGTTATTCTTTCAATTATGTACTCTCTGAACCGTAAGTAGTGCATCACTAAAGTATCTACCATAAGGAATTAAGGATGTATGGTGAATTATATGGACAGTTCAATACTTAGATCCCAAAATTCCATTGAAATATAATCAATTAATTTTAAGCTAAGGTCCAGTTCAAGAATATTAAATTAACAGCCAAACAGGTTTCGGATACTTGGATGCAGTTGGAGTATACCGAGTTGGAAATATACGGAGTAGAGAGCAGAGAAAAAAAATGGATTTAAAGGCTGAGCCCAACTCCTAATATTGATATCTGAATTCTTTTTGAATAAATATCAAGTAAAATATTGGTCTTGAATAATCATTTAAAATGCAAAGTAATTCCACAATCATTTAATAGGATTTGTTTTATTACTTAATAATTTGTTCGAGAATTAGTGAATACTTACCTAAATAAATACTCCGTACACAGACACACAGTAATGTTTAATATTTGAAGGAATTCTTAATTATTTAAGAAGGTGTTAGTATATATTGTTTCAGTTGACATATGAAATAAAGAGTTTAAGTTAATCTAATATTTTCTGAAAAAATCATTTTAGGCCTCTTTAGTATTTATTTTATCATTTAAATATTAAATGAAATATTATACAAACTTATTTAGAGTCCACATAATTCGGTGACATGTAAGAGTGAATTCTAAATTTTAATTCACAATGCATTTAATCATGTATTTTTTATTGTTTTAAATGAATATCAATACATTATGTAATATTTATTGTATTTATATTTTATATGTTATTATGGAGTATTTTTTTTATTTCACCCCGGCCCCCCTTTCAGTCGAATCCTGGCTCCGCCCCTGGCTAAAATGATCATCTACATTAACTTCAGCCAATACAGACAAAAAAGTAATCTCAAACCTTACGTTATTATACAATTCAGCGCGCGAAAGCAAAAGTTACTTGTTTGGTGAAATAGTTGACTGATAAGCCTCATAACAATGTTGCTAAACGGCCTTGTAATCAACAATTCCATTTATATACGGAGTATATGATTTTTTTGTTATTATATTCATTAATCCATCAAATTGGCCTATCCTTTTTCTAAATATGCATTAATTAATATACATATTTCTTGTCGTATCAGGTGGGAGGCAGAATGTTAAAGAGGAACAGATCAGAAGTGGTCGCCGTCGCCCCCATCAAGAGTCGTGCATGCGCACTCGTCTTCCTCCACCTCTTCTTCCCCCGTCTCCGCCTTCCCCTTTCCGCTCTCTTTTCCATGTTTCTTTACACACAGTAAAGTATAAATTCTTATTCTTATATATATATACGTTTAATATAAAGCAGACTTTAAGATCAATTTACTGGTTCAATCAGGTACGCAATTTCATTTCATTTCCATAGAATATTCTCTGAACTGCTCCTGCCTACATGCAACGGATCATCTTTTATTGTAGTTTTCATAAAATACGACGATCTGTTTTTTGTGCTTTGGATGAAAACTTGTGAGTACTGAGTAGTATTCCAGATGACAACAATCTGGTGTTCAGTTTCAGATGATCGGATTTTCCGGAATACTGAAATGTAATTTCATTTTTTAATTCAGAATATGAATATGCGGTATCGGCCCCGTCGTTTTCCCATTCTGCCTAATTTCTCAGCCTATGTACTAGGCGCCAGCCCGCCCCCTCTACCTACCCTGCCATTTTTTCAACACAAGTGTTTTGCATCGTGAAGATACGTTTAATGTCGATTGCTGTGATTTTTTCATTAGTGGTGACTGGTGATATGACTTGTCTTTGAATTCATATGCACAGGGTGATTATTTTTTCTTCAAAAAGGAGTTTTATTTTATTTTATTAGTATGAGCTCATATGTTTAATCCTAGCTTCGTCTGAAAAAGAGTCTATGTTTGACACACGCCATACTGTTTTATTCGTTTTTTAATAACGTAAAGATTCTTTTTTTGATTTACTTTATTAAAACATTAAAATTACTCCGTACCATCATTTGTTGACCTTTAAGTCGTATTTGGTTCTTTCTACTCTTATGAAAAATTTAATGAGACGTCTTATGATCCATAAAAGTCACTTGTATCACAGTTTATGGATTGTAATGATGTATTTGCGATTCTTATAATTAATTTCAATTTTTGGGTTTTATCAGGAACTTCTGAAATTTGCTTCCATATACTGCACATCAATATAGCATTTGATGGCATCAACAGAGCGTGGTATTCATAACAAAAGGATAGAGGGAAGTGATTTAAGAAATACTTCACTCTTTCTTGATGATGAGCAACAATCTCCCTCCCCCATGTGTTGGAAGGGTCCTGTTCCAAATCCGCCATTTCCTCCTCCTAGAGCCGGTTTAAGAGACAGAAGCCATAGAGGGGTGGCTGGTTCTTGTTGCATCCTTAATAAAGCAAAAGACACATGGGAAAAACTCTTCAAAGAAGGGTTTGGGGCAGATGTGCGTATCATGACAGATGATGGATCAACCATTCCAGCACATTATAGTGTTTTGGTGAGTAAATGGATTTGTATATTTACTTGCTCTTTTATCATAGATAATAATTTGTTGTGTTTATGCTAAATGCTTTTTATGCATTTAATTTAACCATATCATTCTTGAAAATCATTTGTGTTTTCATGTACTCGTGTTAATATTTATGTTTTTGAAGGTCTCCTTAAACTAAAGAAAGGGCCCCAAATAACAATTGCTCATAATTTTATTCTATAATTGTATTCAAATGCTTTTTATTCTAATCATATAACTGGTGAACCAACATTAATATTTTCCTTCACTATTTTTGAAGTAACATTAATTTTTTCCTGAAACATGGAGCTATCTATCCTCAGAACATTTTTTTGAAATAGAATTTTCAATGGTATTTTCATTTTCAGTTTTATCTCCAACAGCCAACTAATACACATGTCTTTCATGTTCATTAAGAACCGTGCAGGATTTCAATTTGAAATTTTTTTGCTTGGGTAATAAAAAATTGGGCCCTGCTCATAGGCATCCATTTGCATCCTTTCATGTAATGTGTGTATGTGAAATGTCAATTAGTTGATTTTGTGTTAGAAAACAATCCTGACTTCTGGCATTTCTTTTTTATTGTCCATCATCCTCAGTGTGCTGCATCACCTGTATTGAGAAATGCCCTGCAGCAATGTAAGGTGAACAATGGCATGAGATGTATGAAGGTCCCAAGCATGCCATATGATGCTGTCCACATCTTCATTAATTTTCTTTATTCTCCCAGGTGTGCAAGTCGTCCAATACTTCCATAGTCATTTTTTAATAAAGTGTCCTGAAAATAATTACATTAATGCCTAAACTGTCATGACTTTGAGCAGGCTTCTGTTGCATGCATAATTAACCTTACATGTTTTAACAATTCTGAATTGGAGATTGACATTTTAGTTGCTTTGCATTCAAACGCAGTTATGATGAAATGGAGATGAAGAAGTTTGTTCTTCATCTGTTAGTTCTATCACATTCCTACTCCGTGCCTTCACTTAAGAGTGTGTGTGAACACATTATAGAGCACGGATTGCTTAACTCAGAAAGTGTTATAGACTTACTTCAGTTAGCAAGGAAGTGTGATGTACTGCGGCTCTCACTTGTGTGTGCCCGGATGATTATGAGGGACTTCAAAACCGTATCATCAACTGAGGGGTGGAAGATAATGAGCCGTTCCAATCCTGCACTTGAACAAGAGCTTCTAGAATTTGTTGTAGAGGCAGATACGGTATGATAGTTCTGATAGTTCATCAAGAACTGTTTTTATTTTCTGGTCGGTGTCATCCTACATAAAAATAGCATGAAAATATAAACTAAGAACATATACTGATTTGGTCCCTCTAATATACATCATTGGTCAATTTGGTTTTCAACTTTTGATTAGATTCGATTTGGCCCTCGTCTCAGATATTTGGACTTAATTTAGTAAGCCTTCTAGGGATGCACCCCTGAACGGGACTGTTTTTTTCTAAACCGGAATTCGTAATGACTAAATAAACAGTGCCAACCGAAGAACTTGAACCAACACAACTCAACCCAAATATGGGTCTGGTTCTACCATTTACTTTACCAGAGCTGAAATCGGATTGGGTCCCCAGGTGTTATACTCATAAATATTTGGTTAGAAATGTGCATGAAGACTAAATCAAGTCCAAATATTCCATAATTAAACACCAAATTGAATCCAAAAGAAGTCAAATATCAGTTTAGTAGTATTATGTAGTCTAGGGAGTAGGGACCAATTAGAGTATTAACTCGTAATAATCATACAAAACATTGGATTACCCCTGCTATTAGATGATGTTGATTGAACTTGTGCAATCATATGCTTGTATAAGCATACAGCTAAGTGTTTATATTACAGTGACTGTTTTAGAGGAAGCAAGAGCGGGTGAAGAAAACTGAAGAGAAAAAGGTATATTTGCAACTATATGAGGCCATGGAGGCTCTACTTCATATCTGTAAGGATGGGTGTCGAACGATCGGACCAAGAGATATGATGCTTAAAGGAGGCCCCGATGCATGTAATTTTCCAGCATGCAAGGGACTTGAAACTCTGATCCGCCACTTCTCTGGTTGTAGTACCAGAGTTCCAGGCGGATGTGTGCGGTGTAAACGAATGTGGCAACTTCTTGAGCTTCACTCGCGGATGTGCATTCAACCTGACTCTTGTTGTGTTCCTCTTTGCAGGTTAGGATGATCATATTTCACTTTATTTTATCTTTTTTATATCTTCAACGGGTTTGCAATAATAATCCTATATGAGAAGGATTGTCACTCCATTGTAGGCATTTTAAGCAGAAAATGGTGCAACATACCAAGAGAGAGGAAGCAAAATGGAAGGTATTGGTGAGCAAAGTGCAGGCAGCAGAGGTTAGGCTTGGACTATTCTCAACTAAGCGGTCAGCTTTTTGTTACGACCTCTAAAACTGTACATATGATGAGTTGGTGCTTCAATGAATAAATGGTCAAATATTTTGTAGACCATATTGTAAGGGTATAGGGTATATAATCTGTCACAGGAAGATAGTGTGAAAGGTATAATGTTATAGGTCAAATTGTGTCTTGTAAAATTCCCACATATGAGTGAATGTTGAAATCTACTTTTCTTGTCTTGGAAAAGGTTAGTCTTCGTTAATATGGTAAGAAATCATATCTTGAACAACCATGCTACCGGTATACTCCGTACCTTCTTGTACACACCATTTCATTTTGTATGTGTATGAACACTTTTTTTCATTTTGTAAATGAAATTGTTTTTCTCACCTACAAAGTATCGGGAATATCTTCACAAAATGAAGAAAAAATATCTGCCCACAAACAATCAATTTACTTGGCAATGTAAAATGACTTAGGGTTGGTTTGCAACTGCTTTTAAAAAAGGATTTCTCAGTTTTTTGCTTTAAAAAAGCACTTATTTTTTCAAACACTACAACTTTTATTTTTATCGGCTTCCGCGTCAAAAGTGTTTTTACTTTTTCTATTACACAAAAAACACTTATTTTACCAAACACTATTCACTTTTACTTTTCAAAATCACTTTTTTCTCAAACACTATCAACTTTTATTTCATCATTTCTCCCCATTTCATTAAAAAAAGCACTTTTTTAAAAGCAGAAGCGGTTGCAAACAGACTCTTATACAAATACTCTCTCAGAAGCGGTTCCTATTTTGTAAGATATATTTTCTATTCACTTGGTCAACACAAATCACTCTTAATCTCTTACTTTATATATCAAATTATTATAAAATTTGATTCTGGTTTTTGCGACTTTGTAAAGCTTTTAATGTAGTTTATGAATATGTGAATCTTTTTTTCTAAAAATAATTTGGTACAAATAAGTATCCGTTTGTTTTATCGTCGATCAAACTTCGTAAACCGTGAAACGGCGAGTAATATTTGCGTCTTGAAATGCACAAAAATGGCATGTACAGATCTTGTGGGGTCCAGTACGTTTAATTGACGATTACAACTCACACCAATTTGTAGTATGGGCAAATTATGAAATTGGTGATCATATTTCCACATCTTTCAGCAGGGACGGTACACCACTAGGTGTCATAATTATGGGTGACCAGGTACTGGTTGCAGACCAAAATCGGACTGCACCCGGCTAATCTTTGGGTTGACCACACTGTTCACTTTTCAAGGCTTCTATATCATTTTTTGTTACAATTCCTCACCACCGGACTAACTGGCACCCGTACTGCTTTATTCAAATTAATAAAATACCTCGGATGGGAATTGTAACCAGATTGGTATAACAGGCTCATCCGCTCATAATATCATATACTCCTATGGAATAATACTTCTAATACTGTAATTATTCAAAAATAATTTTAATTTGCTTACAGTAATTAGATTAGAGTTACTAATCACTGTGGCTGGTCCTTTATGTTAAGCATCCGGATCTAGTCATTAGTCTCACTAAGATTGTGTCTTTTTTTTCCGAGAAATCTCACTATGATTACTATGATTGTCTCATACTCCATACTAAATTTAGTAGAGTTTGTGTAACTCTAAATCATTCTTATTTTATCAATTAAATATCAATTACGTACATAAACACATTTTTCTCAATAGCGTGTTGCTTTCTCATGTCTCAATGTTAGTAAGACGGAAGTAGTAAAACACCAAAACTTCCACATTGTAATTATCGGCATTAAATCCTAAATTATATGATACTCCATCCATCCCAAAAACAACTTCACAGTTTTGACATTCACACAGATTAAAAAAATAAATTTGACTTTACTGTACAGTGCACTGTTTTGCACTGTTTAAACACAGTTTGACACTGTTTGGACACTATTTGACACTGTTTGACACTGTTTGGCACTATTTTGATGTAGATAATTTGCCAAGTAAAGAAAGTATCGAAATGTGAAGTTAATTTTGGGACATCCATTTAAGGAAAGTGGGAAGTTGTTTTTGGGAGGGAGGAGGGAGTATATTATAACCTTAAACAAAAACAAGTGAGCTACACCCTTAGACCATTTGGACTGGTGTGAGAGTCTAAATGTTAAAAAATGGACTCCGTCCATATGAAAACAGTGTTTTGACTCTTATTTCTCTGCATTCCAGCACCGTCAATAAAATACACTCTGCGCATTTTTTTACATATCAATTTAGTAAAACATTAATTAAATTATTATAAGTAATATTTTCCCTTTAATTTTTTCTCCGATTGATTATAAAATAAAAAAGACATATTTCAATACAAAAATAAATAAATTTCATTATTTATTTTTTTACGTTTCTCGGTTAACAAGAAATGAACTTAAAGTTAGATTATGAAATATTCACTTATTTGTGAAGGTTGCATGAATTAAAAATATGTGTTATATGATTTTTTAGGCTCAAGAAAACTTCAACATTTAGAATTTCAAAAAAAAAATTATATATTACATATTGGTGTCATATGAAAGATCATAAAAATTCATGAATTTGAATACATGTTTTGAAAAATTTGGAGAACAAATTAAAAACTTACAAAAGATTAAAAGTTTTTGGGATTATAGTGACATCAGTATGACATCACCGTGACATCGGCAGAATGCATAACCTATGCACGAGGCGGCCTTTTCTTTTCCCTGTCAATCCTCCCTCTATTTTTAGAACCCTCCATCCACTTACCCACTTTTACTACACTCTATAACACACCACTAAATAAAATTAGGAGTCCAAAATTTCCATCTTTAACATTTTGGACTCCTAATACCTCACCACTCCAAGTGGTCTTACCCCTACAAAGAAATTTAACTTTAACCCAACTGAGGTATCCAACAAAATACTCCAGTGTTTGTTGGGTACGAGCTAACTCTTACATGCAATAGAAATAAATAAATAAAACATAATAGTGTTTTCTAATAACTTACTCCGTACCTTCTAGGCGCCTACATGCATCAGATTCCAAATTTTAATTGTTATAGAACATGTAGAAACAAAAACAGGCATCAGGAATCTTAAGTTGATGCATTAGAAAGAAAATCCCCATTTTACCCCCTAAGTGGTTTGAACACTATACAGTGATAATCTGGCACAAAGAAAGAGCCAGGAGAACTAGACAGTTGAAGAAGAGCTGTCATCATCGGATGAGGAACTATCTTGCTGTTTGTCAATGTACCCAGGAAAAACCTGTGCATTAACCGCCACCATTGGGAACTGTCGTACCGAGCTGACTATGGTTCTCTCGTTTATCTTCCCAACATCTTTGCATACCTGATCAAGCACACCCAAGAAGTCCCTAACCACCATGAAAACACGCAACGGGCGAGCTTCTTCCTTAGCCAAGTCACCGTGGAAGTATTCAGTCACCTCCTTCACCATCGACATGGCCACATTTTCTTGAGCTTGAATGTTTATTATTTCCACTTTGGCCTTCTTTAGAAATGTGTCCATCGACTCTGAGAATTTTGTTGTATTCTCTCCCTTTTCGCCTTCTATTAGTTTCACTACAAGGGTAATCTTGGAAACTCCGTCTGCTAGCTTTGAAACTTCATTGATGAGTACATCGGAGTCCATGTCAGCAGCTTTCTTGACATTGGTCAGCTCCCCGCTCAATCCAGAAACCACTTGAAGGCCGACCTTTCTGAACTCGACCTCTTCCTGTATGACAAATTGCTTCTTTTCTGCATTTTGATGACAACCGGAGAGACGGGACCCTTCTGCTCTTACTATTTCTTGAACGACGAAGTGGAGGAGTGTGGTCTTTCCATCTGCGCCCTTTACATCTACAAGTTTTAGCAGGGTATCGAGTTTGAACGCACTGGCATCTCCACGGTTGGTTCCGACATTCATGCGGTTCCCTGTTTTTAGTACGGCTTCTAAGAGTTTCATGAACATTCTGCTCTTCCTCAGCTCTTGACATGCAGCCTGGAAGCATCATAAGTCAGGAATGCATACAAGATAGGATTACATTATACATGAAGCTCTTCAGATTCTTTAGCTATGTAAGGATCGTGAAAAATACTAGGGAAATAAAATATGATTTTTTATTTTTAAAGTATACTCCATATAAGTTTAGGTTGATTAGTACTACGCATTCATATAACACATATGACATATTTATAAATAAAAAATGATTTCAGGCAATATTACATGAATTTATTATGTATGAAACAATGAATCAATTCTTTATTTAGCTTAACATTTTCATTTCATTTTCTCCTGGACATTCCACTCTGTTTTCTATCTCTTACATTTTTCTCATTCCAACCTGACCCTTATTGTTGATAAAGTTCTGGGAGTGATTCGCCTATATCTTGATAAATTTTAAACGTTTCTAAAGATAAATAAAAGGTGGTTAAAATGTTATCACAAATTATGTAAATAGTTCTTTTTCATACATGTATACGGAGTATATATACTCCCTCCGTCCCAAAATTAAAGTCACACTTTCCGTTTGTGGATGTTCCTAGATAAAGTCACAATTCCCTATCTGGTAAACAATTCTATATCAAAACAGTACAAGACAATGCAAAAAGTGTCAAAACAGTAAATTTATTTTCTTAATATGTGAAGTCTGATTTAGTTAAGAGGAGGGAGAGTATGTGTTGGTGAGTATATGGGTTTTATGTAAAGATTTCTTGGCTCTACAAAACCATCCCTGCAAAAAGACACTACTCTACACTAAAGTCCAAAACAGAATGGATTGTGAAAAAAGCCAAATCAAAACACGGCAAATGCTTACACATTCTGTCAATTGAGGTGAAGCCGTGAAGGCAAGGACTGCAGTCTTAGTAAGATAAAGATTCTCTGTACTCAATAATTATGGAGTCAAATTTTCAAGACTAACAAAGTTGGTACTTTTTCACATCATTTGGTTTTCAAAAAACTTATTACTCCGTATTTCATTTCCAAAAAGTAAATGACTAGTTTAACTTCACTTTTAATCCACTAATAATCTCCATAAAGCTGTTTGCAAAAAAAAAAATCTCCATAAAGTTTGTGTGGAACGTTTGAAGTGTAGCTATACAAGCCACATTAATGTTTTTCTAAAAAGAGATAGAAAGAAACTAAAAACCCAGAAACTGAAGGGCTGGAAAAAAATACGAAGACCTAAAATAAAAATGATATATTTGCAAAGAATAAAAAACAGTATTCAAAATCTACCATAAAAGAATGTTTCATGCACCAAATAAGAAAGGGTGAATTACTCTCCATCCTCCCACAGAAAAGGTATATTTCAAAAACAACAGAAGCAAACTTCAATTTAATTTGATGCAACTTTTTGGGGAAAATAAAAACTTGTTCTTGTGAATCGGTTGTATAGAATGGCTAAATCTTCCAATACAGCCCCCTTACCTCAAGTGTCTCAAATGATCTCTTAAGGTACTCAACATCTGAATCAAAGTTGGTAATGTAAAGCATAGCATCCACCCTTCTAAAAGCAAATGGTATGTCAAGAACTGCCTTGAGAAACTTTTCGGCTGGGCATAATTTAAACGGCAATTCATCCTTGAACTCCTTCAGCTTACGCTCCTCTTCTTTAGTAGGAGCCATCTTTAACAAGCTTTCAAGTAGTTCTGCTCCTAAGCTGTCAGCACTTCCTGTTCACCACCCCCATTTAAGAAACCAAACACAGATTAAATATACTTCTGGTGCAAAATGAGTCTCATGTGTTACATAAATACACTTATACCCACACACACACGACACATATCTATGGTACCGTGTCAACAGTCCAGCACAGATCATTAGGGTATGTTTGGCTGCATAAAAAATGCAGGGGAAAGGGAAAATGCCCAGGGGAGTATTTTAAAGTTTTATCTTTGAATGATGCAAAGGAAAACGAAATGTAATTATTACTACATTTTTTTAAAATGTATTTATATTTTTTAGTCTTTGTTAAATAAAAATACTCCATAACAAACATCTAAAAGTGAGAAAAATAAGATTTATCCTACAGAGTATCTTTTATTTTCACCACATTTAAATTGGCTCATAGATATTGTTTTCTTATGTTTGGGTTAAACTCGAAGAATGAATAATATTTGAAATATGATATATGTTTTTTGAAAATTTATACGGAGTATATGCTTACATTGCTCAATTTTTATATAATACAGAGTACTTCGTGCATCTACATTTAAATAAAATGATTTTAACAAATATTAACGTCGTTTTTTGAAATTAAACCAATATTTTATTCTCTCAACGTTTTATTTACTTTCGATGTGCCATTTACCATTAACCTCTTCCTAGTATTTCCTGCATATGAAACGGATTCTTAGAGAAGCAGTAAAGAAGGAAACACGAGTATTACAAAACTCACAGCTTCAACATTTGTTAAAGTAGATATTTGGAAGCGTAAAGCAACCCAACAAAGCCCACTAGCTTAGCCTTACCTTCAATAAGTGCTTCACAAACTTCCTCAGCTGTAATGTAAAGTGCCCTTAACAAAATTGCAATGTTCTGGGACTTCTTTGGATCAAGCACTGTATTTTCCTGTGGAAATGTTCGCTTTGCCCCATCTTTTTGGTATGAATTTGTAGAATTCACAATGAACAATGTCTCAATCATTTCTTCGTTTAGCCTGCCAAACCATAACAATATCTTCTCACCAAAAAAAAATTTTAAAAAATGAAATGCTTAAAAGGAAAACAAGATTAAACTCCAGAAATGAATTGGCTGCTATCTTACTGAAAAGAGTTGGATTTTAGATGATCCCAAACCATAACTCTATCAGAGCTGGCCTTGACTTTATCCCAATGCAGAGGCTTCAGCTTAGGCTTCACAGCTTCTTCATTTAAATTCTTGCTTACCACCTGCCGGGATGGTGTTATGAGTACAGGTGGTCCAACATTCGCCGTCGCTGGAGGTTCCAAACCGCTCGCCGGTGGTGGAGGTGGTGGTGGCGGCCCTTTGACCGAGTCAAAGGGCCTAGAATCAGCTTGTTGACTTACAGGAGACTCCAAAACCTGTGCTGAGGAATCTGAAGCTCGGTACTGGGACTTATGGGTGTCATCAGAAGAAGGAGAAGCCGCATGTACTGTTCTTGGCTCCCGCTGCGGTGGAGGTGGAATGTATAACAGCGGCGGTGCCGGGAAGTTTGCCAGTGAATCTGGTGATTTGGACCTCAAGCTTCTAGGACTCAAGTTCAACTCCATGGTCGGACTAGCCGACAGAGAGGCTGTAGGAGAGCTCGAGTTTGAGAACGGAAAGCTGCCGGAAGCTTGAACCGGAACACCGGAGACCCGACGGAAGTTGGGACCGTTACCATTAGGGCTGGTTTTGCCTACTGAAGATGCTCTAGGAGAGTAGAACTCATCCTCACCCCCTTCTTCACCGGAGTCAGCGTCAGCATTTCTGCGACTCCGTCGGCAGTGCGGGCGTGGCAACGGCGGAAGAGGGCGGAGCTCCGGCGAACCCAACATCTGATAGTTCAATGGTACCACGCTACTGGGTGCTGCAGATGGTTGAGTTTGAGTAGCTTCTAGGTTGAATTCTCTGGAGGTAAACAGAGTACCAAGGTAGAGAAACTCAGAGCTAGTGGAGGCGGCGGAGGCTTGGTAGCGGGGCAACTGCGGCAGAGGCGGAGGCGGTGGCGGTGGAGGTGATTTCTTCTTGGCTCCTCCGCTGATATCCGCGTCTGAGGGAGTGACATTGGGTGGTACAAGGCGGAGGCAGTCCGTTTTCTGGTGGCGGTAGGTTTTCTCGCGCTCGCGGAGATGGAGAAGAAATGCGGCCAGTAAGGTGAAGAGTGCAATGAAAACCAGGGAGACGGCTACGATAAGAGCTATGAGTTTCCGGGAAATGGTTACGCTAGAGTTCGTCGACGAAGACTTCGGCAGAACGAGGGAAGAAATGTTGGCCGGAATTGTAGGCGTGCTTTTGGCCGGCGGCGGAGAAGACTCAGTCGGGAAAAAGGAGGCAGAACCTAAGGGCGTGTTTGGGGGCGACTGCGACGAAAAGGGGTATGTGGGCTGAACCGGCTGAACTTGAAGACGAGGTTGCCGTCGGGGAGAAGCAGCGGGAGGCTGCGAGATAGTACTAAAAGGGATGGGGGCCGGCAGCGGTGCCGGAGTCGTCACAGTATTCAGTGGATAGAGAGGCTGGTGGAGGATCCGCCGGTTACTGTGGAGGTGAGCGGCGGCGGCGGCGGAAGCAGTGAAGGTGCAGAGCCGTACCAGTAAAATGCTGATGAACAAGGAGGAAGCCATAGTGGTGATTGGAGATATCAAGGTCCGTACCATTCATTAATGGCAACCCAAGTTCACGGGCATTGAAGGGAGAAAAGGTGGGAGAGAGGGTCGGTGGTGAAATGCATTCTGACAGCCATGTAAGCAGAAAGGGGGAGCTTGGGAAGAAGAAAACTCAAACTAGAAAACAAAAATAAATGCTTTCCGGTCTCCACCATGAAAAAGCTTTGAAATCCCAATCAAACCCCGTCCTTACCCTAAGATCCTAAATAGAAATGAGGGAAAGAGCAAATCGTTTAAAGGAGGGAATAAAAGTAGGGGTTCTTTTTAGAAAGAAAAAAAACAAGTTAACCCTCCCAAACGAGTGGTCCACTACTCTTCAGTGTCTTCACGATATTTGGAGGGGTTTGACTAAAAAGTTAAAATCAGGGAGTGTGCACTTTTTTTTACCGTTGTGTTGATACTTCGATACTCTCCAAATTGATATGTTTACCGCGTATAATAGAGTTTGTTAACGTGAATCATTTTTTAGAGAACTTCCACTATTCTCGGTTAATCGTTACTCCCTCCGTCCCAATTTGACGGGTGGAAAAAACTGAACCGAAACCCGGAAACCGATTCTAACCCGAATCGAATTATGATTTCGGTCTGGATTCTTTTTCTTTTTAATCGGCCTGAATAAAAAAACTCGGACCGAACCTGAAATTTCGAGCTCAATAACGGGTCTTAAAATCAATAACTCGACCCGGACCGATAAAACCCGAAACAATTAGCTTTAATTAAAATTAATATTTATAAATAACTCCTAACATATTATTATAATCATGGTGGATGAAAAAGTGACTTAATAACTTTTATTGATTACAAATATATTCAATTTGCTTACCGTAATGATCATGAAAATATATTTATTATAATTTTAGTCACATTTTTATCCATAAGTTGTACTCCGTAATTGATGGTACCATGGATTCTAACCATGACCCAATTACGTAATCCAGCCCATAAACGGAAGCAGCCCTTGACGGGATCAGCCCATAACGGGATCAGCCCATAAACGGGATCAACCCTTAACGGGATCAGCCTAATTAACAGGATTAGCCCATAAACAGGATCAGCCCTTGACGGGATTAGCCTAATTAACAAGATTAGCCCATAAACGGGATTTATATTGAATGAGCCGCTTGGCCCATTAGGAATTAGGCCCACGATAGGAACCCACAGCCAGGCCAGGCTGGACAGCAGACCTCGAGCCTGGGCGGAGTTCTAGTGAGGCCGGGACATTCCTAGGGACTACGTGGCAAGCTATCATTGGATGATGAATATTTGGCAATAGGCATGACTCGACCGAAACTAGGAAACAAATATGGCATGAGAATCAAGCATCGAAGGAGTTCTATTTCGAGCAAGAATATAGTTCATTAATTGAGCATTTATTGTATAAGATTCCTCCCATAATTCTACTTCCTAGTCTCTATAAATATTTGATGTAAACACCCTACCCAGGGTCGACCACTATCATTCCGGAATAAGAGTAGTACTGCCTTACGCTGTCATATTGTTTTCGATATTATTTCTATACTTTACGTATATTTAGCTCTCGTAGTTGGATTAAACTCCATCAGTAATATTTTTAGAAAACATATATTATTTATTTGAAGTGTTGGTGATTTTGGAGACTAATATTTGTTTATTTGCAATTTGTATTTTTGATTAATTTTATTTGAAAATAGGTTTTATAATATAAAAGGACAATGAAATGATTTCACGTTCGGGCTTTAACCGACCCAACCCAAACCCGGACCGAACCTGGGCTACAAAAAACCCAGCTCGGACCGAATATAATGGGCCTTGTTCCGGTCCCTAATTTTCATAACCCGAGACCTTACGGGTAATTTCCGGGTTTAGCAAAAACCCGACCCAGACCGGACCGATCTCACTCCTACAATTTGATGGTCTTGTTTCTTTTGGGCACAAAGATTAATAAAGTATGGTAGAAAGACTAAAGAACCTTACTTTATTGTATTGTTCATCCTTTTATTTTTACTGTTCATTAAAAAGGAGAGGTATAAATGATAATCCACCTTTAGTTCTTTACCAAAAAGGGCAACAAGACCATCATTTCGGGACATTCCAAAAAGGAAATACAGGACCATCATTTTGGGACAGAGGGGGTATTATTGTTTTCCTTTTTAATCTAACTTTTTTTAGGTAATTGTTCTTAGGTAATTGTTTTTAATTCTTTACTTTATAATCCAACTTTTATCAAATTTAATTTTATTAAAAGCAGCAATCAAAATGAGTTTTTCAGAAGTTGGACTCTCAACTTTCACTAAAATACTTCAAAGTCTGCTTCTGCTCACATAAAGAGCAGAAACAGTTTTAAGAGGCTGGTCCAAACACCTCACAAGTCATGAAACGTCTGAACGAATAAGTCTCATTTGAAATCTAATTGTAATTAAACATCACTGCATAAGTGAATTATTAAGGGCGAAATGTGCAAAAACACCCTTAATGTATAACTTTTTTTTAAACCCGGTTGACCAACAACCAAAGTTATTTGCTGCGGTTGTAAACCGCAGCAAATAGGTAATTATAATTTTTTTTGAATTACTTTTTGCGGCGGTTGTTAACACAAATACACCAGCAAATACACCATACCAAAAGTTAACACATTCCACCCATTTCTGTAATCCGTATATAATACTTCGTAATACGTACACCTTTCTGCCCATTTCTCATCATATCTTCAAATGAACAATTTAACATAATATATTCCAACAGAAGACCTATATATAAAAAAATTACAATTCTTTCCTTAATATTTAATAAATCACCCAAAAAGGTCACTTATCAAGTATCACAAAAATATTATTCACATCCAATACAATAAAAATTCAATCTTAGAATACATCATTTACGTGTAGTATAGAGTTTTCAATATTTAATCGTCGAATTCAGTTCATTCTTAGAATACAACGCCTATTTGTTAGCTGCTTCCATATTTTCTTGGGTTTCTTCTCTACATGTTTCTTAGCTGCTTCCATGTTTCAAAACACCTGTTTCATTCCAGTGTACTAAATTTAAGGACATCTGTCAACCAGAAAAAGGAGTGTGTCTCAGATTTAAAATTAATAAAAATTCAGATTTAATCACATAACCCAAAATTGAACTAATAACTTAAATTCAACTACAATGTTAAGGGTCCATTTTGGAACAAGTAAAATAATCAACATACGTGGGAAATAAAAAAGGGAGGAAAATAAGAAGAGAATTGGAAGGAAAGAAAGAATAATACGGAATACTTTGGAAGCATCTCAAGGTTGATGCCAATGTCAATTTTGGTTGAAATATGTTTCAAACTTCCATAAGTTGTCCGCTTTAGTGTGTCAGTTGCCACTCTGAAAGCGGTGCAAACCATTTGGGCCAACAAGTGATTAGGTCGCAATGTTTCTAAATAATGGAGAGCTTGCTGCAATTAGAATGATATATGCAAATATTAGATATGTGATTCAATTTTTTCAAAGAAAAGCAAATGCCTACAATTCAGATTTAATTACATAACCCAAAATTGAAATAATAACTTAAAATTCAACTAAAATTGAAGCAAAAATTAAATTAATCAACGAATAACTTAAAAAATAGGCAGAAATACAACATGAACAAAGAAACTAAAACAGTGCATAGTTATCATATATTTAACTTACCATCTTCCAATGACTTTGTGCCACACAAGATTTTCTCCTTATATTGTACATTTACTGTCCTCACAAACTTGAATAATTACACCTTCTTAAGCTTTACTTTTTTTACTTGCCCTGCATACCATGATTCAAACATGTCCAAATGGAACACCAAGCTCTTAGACATTATTATAATTTAAACCCCATAAAATATGTGCAACAACATATCTTAATATCACTTTACCATTCCTAGAAAAATCCATCAATTAAAAGGGAGTTTTGGGTGGCAGCATCTATTTCCTTTGAACCAGTGAAACTGAATGCAGCATTGAAACTACCAAGAGGGCCATGGCCTGATAGTTGGCCTTTATGCTGAAGAACTCCACCATCTGTATTAGAAGAAACTATTGTTTCGTTAGTGTGAAAAGCTGAAAATCAATACAGGATTACACTAAAATCATATGTACTAAATGTTAAATTTATTTGTTTCCTAAACTAAATAAACAACCCAACCAAGAATTTATCAACAACTATGAAGTATGAAGTAATCGATATAAAATAGTTAAAGAGGAGTAGAGGAATACTAGAACTCCCAGAAGTTGAGAAGGCCGAAGGGGCAAAAGTGCAGAACCGCAGGGCCTAAAACTGGAAGCAGCAGAAGAGAAGCCGTGTGGCAGGTGTGAAGGTGTGGCACTTCAAAAATACATACATATCTGCTTCATACAAACATTAACATCAATACTTAATTCATAAATTTAAACAAATATCAAATTTTTGTAAAATGGTAAACACTTAGAGCAAACTATTTGAAATTATAAAAGTTTGGGGGAATAAACCTCTAATAATTGAAAACGAGGTGGAAATAGGCAGGAAGTGGAGGAGGACCGGAGGCCGCAAACAGGAATGAGTTGCAGCTAAAGGTTCAGTGGTTAGTCCACGTTGGACGGCGACAATAGCTTGCGTCCGCATCACAAAAATAACTACTACAGTAAATGTATTGCTACGGTCCCTTCTTAACCGCATCAACAAACTCAACTCGGAACGCTATTTGTTGCGGTTCCTCTTTGAATGCAGCAATAAGTAAAAAAAATGTAGTTAATTGTTGCGGTTCATCAATGACCGCAACAAATGATGAACCGCAACAAAATGTAGTAAATTCTAGTAGTGATGAATGGAGTAAATGCCGGAAAACATTTATCAGATATATTCCTTAATGTTTAACTTCGATTGCATACATGTCCTTGAATTTTTTAACGATGCAAAAATATGCCTGAAGTTCAAATTTAGGAGTAAATTTACCGTTATTAGTTTTAAATAATACACACAGACGCACATATATTTAAAAACCTCAAAAATAGATTAATGAATATGTTGAGCTTGGAGAGTTGGAGTTTGAAAAAAAAAATCATTTTATGTTCAATAGTTCCTTTTATGGCTTTTATATCAAACTAATATAGTTAACATGATTGTTCTAAAAATCGGTCTAGTCGGTCAACAAATCGGATCCTTATATCTTTTGAGACAAGAGTCCGGACGATTCGGAATGCAAATCAGGCCATGCCCGACTACCTGCCGTTGGAGATTTATTGAGAAATACAACTCAGGTATTA